GGTTCATGGGGTCACGAAGAGTCGGACACGACTTAACGACTAAACAACAACAACAATTTTAATATGTATATTTATATTTTCATTGTTTTGACTGTTTTAGATTTTCATTGTGAGCCACCCAGAGTCGCCCTCTGGGGGAGATGGGCAGCATATAAATTAAATAAATAAATAAATAAAGTGACAAAGTATCTAAAACATTCTACCTTCTCATTAGGGTTTGTTTCTTTTAGAAGCAGGGAAACAGATGTAACACTTCATTAAATCTCTCAGCCCGATTTATATGCCATATCAACCAAGGAGAGTCAATTTAGCTACCTGGGATTAGTTGATGGGATTGTAGGTAATATCCTTGACTACGTTGTGTGGGAAACCCCCTTGACCTAGTTGTGTGTGTCATGTGAACAGACACTAGCAATGGCCAAGGTATGAAAGACGATGCAAAGACTTCTTATTAAATCAAGTTATGAGTGACCCTTATGCTCCCCAATAGGCCTTCCTTCTGCTCTCCACAGAATCATATTGTTGGAAGGGACCATTTAGGCCCCTGGGTCTTACCCTTGGTTCACTGTGAGAAACCAGACGAAAAAATTCCTGGAAGTTGGCAATTCAGTAAAGGGGAAACATCCCAAAGTAATTCCTTCCATTATTCAACTGAACAGTATGTTTTTATGACACTCACTACTCCAACATTCATTCCAACATATAGCTCCCAATGTCACAATTATCCTTGTTGCTTTTCTTTACATCTGTTCCAGTCTGACCAAATTAAATGCTCCCCAAACATGGATAGAATTTCAGCCCAAGCCTGCACTGTTGCGGAGTACAGATCTGATCAGATAGGGAAAGAATCTCCCTTCTGACCCCAGTAATCTCACAGGGTGGACCACTTCTCAGGGGAAAGTGCCTAACATTTTCCAGAATGGAGGTGGAACACAGGGCACAGGGTAAAAAATATTCTGGGTTATATGCTAATGAAGTTGCATGTGGTGCCAGAGTCCATTAGGGTTTGCAACTGTATTTCTCTCTGAGTTTGCAGAGTAACAGTAATGACCAAATCTTGGTCTATAGGTTTAGGGTCCACTTGATTTCTGGGTGCCCCTTGAAGTTAGGACTCATTGTTTGAGTGACTCCTTTTCTGACAACCCAGATATGGAATGTTTAGGGAACCTCCTTGCAAAAAACTCCACAAATTCCTTAACTTTTCCATTGATATCCAAACAGCGATGTTGTCTGCAATAAATCAACTGTTTGGGTATCAATGGAAGACTCAAGGAATTGTGGCAGAATAAAGGGTGGAAGGGAAGAAACCTCTATTCACTTTCGTTCCCTCTTCCTACACCCTCACATAAGAGATGTCAGAAGCTGAGGATATTTGCTGAATAGGCTTGTTCATTATTACATCTGATAGTCCCTCTTTAAATTGGTAAATGAAGCATCTTTTTCATGCCAGGCAACATCCTAAACTAACAGTTGAAAGTCAGTAATACTGCACTGAGTGCTTACCTTATTGGAAGTGAAGGATTTCACAGTTGGTGGCCACTTCCTTGACTAGATCAGAAATATTAATCCTCAGGCAGGAAGGCAGTTACTCAGTAATGAAGGCTTGTGGTTGCTACAGCTGCTCTAGCAATGGCTGCCAGAACTTAGGCCAGGATTGGTATGGGACCTATTGATTGTGATCAATTTTGTCCTGCCTACTGGCACTGTTCATTTTGGAGCTAACTGATCCATCTGGGTCACACCCTGATTCTTATCTTGGAGCAAGACATTGGTGACCTGACTGACAGTTAACAGGGTTTCAAGAGAATCTGTAACCACTGTTTAACTTTCGAGTCAAGGTGCAGGCTCCTCTGTAACACTGAGAATATCAGTAGTCAGATTTTGCTTTCAGACTTCATGCCAAGCATGGCAATAAATCTTGACTTTCCAGACACTAATCCTGTATTCAAGAATTTGCTTACAGCAGAAACTCACAGATGTGACACAATCAGATAAGTTGCTTCATTGCAGATAAGATAGAAGCCATATACAGTACACACAAAATATCAAAACACAGAAATCAAGTTCTGTATATATGTTTGCTCCAGGGTTTAAATTCTACACCTTTGCCTCCTGCTGTTTCAAGGCAATGGCAACTTTGCCGTTCTCCTCCTGGCCTTGAAACTTGGAGATATTTGCTCAAAATGTATATAATAGTTAATAATTATTATAATATAATTAAACTAGACTGCTAGTTTCTGGCTCACCAGTTTCAACATTTATAGCTCTTATCAAGGAGGGTAAGGAGAAAATAAGATCTAATGAAATCTGCATTTGCTGTAGTTTTAAATACATTCTAAATTGATAAATAAATAAGTTCTAAATTCATCTATTATTAGTTCCCCTGACTCTACAACTGATATATTCCCAATGGTCATCAGCATCCCTGGGAAATAAGGCAAGACTTAAAGACAACGGAAGCACTGTTGATCAGTAGAAAATTTTATTCAGAGGTAAGTAAACTGCCTGTTTTAAAAGGGATTCCAGTCTTCGCAAAGGGATGTATTCACAGCCTTTGCTATTCCTGGATTTAAGTTATCAAATCTCTGGGAGAGATGGGCGGCATATAAATTTAATACATAATAAATAAAATCTGCTCTGATCACAGTTAACATTGTACAAACATCAGTTATTCCTCCAGCTGCACTCTTTTCTAGTAGAAATAAAACATTCCCCCATAATGTTTTACTTCTGGACATGCACTTCTCATTTCTTCAGAAAAGAATACTTGCTGTTATCAAGCAATCAAATACATCTAGATTAGGTTAGCAAGATATGGTTAACAAAATAAAAGAAAATAATCTATCCGAAAAACCTTCTTCCCCATTATTTTCAAGAAATGGGTTTCGAAGCTGCAAATTGGAAAGAGCTGGAAATTTTCAGTCCCAGAAAACACACTTATGGATGAAAACCAGCATTATTTTATGTACTTACCATGGACTGTAGATACCAAGAGAATTGTGAAGAACAGCAGCAACTGTGGTGACCACATGACTGTGGTCCAAAATTTAAGATTACTTCAACAGTGGAAGTTCTCAAAAGAAAAATATCAAGATTTCTCTCTGCTGGTAATCCTCCCAGGGATATTCGCTTTAATTGCAATTCAGTGAAGCAGGGGTAGAACAGAATAGACTAGCTCTAAAACCAACACCTTCGACAAATGTCCAAAACTCAAAACCTAGAAATAAAAACAAAAATTACAATTAATTTAAAAAGTAGCTGTTGTTACTCAATTCAATATGATCACTGTAACATTTGGTTTAAAACTGTATCAAGAAGTCAAGAGCATGTGCAGACACTTGTTATTATTTAGTTTTGATCATTAGAATAAGAAACAGGACAAGATCAAACAGCATTGTGCTGTTTTCATAATACTGTATATATGAATGTATGTTCCAGAGAATCTTGACATTATGGATTTAAATACATGTGATTTGTTGACATTACCATGATACTTTGGCTGCAAGAGATTTGAGAACAGCCAGGAATGAGAGAGATTAAATAGTTGGGGGTAGGGTGAGGGAGCAATTAATTTAGGTATGTGTCCTGAAGTGATTATATTAAAGTACCTTGAGATAAATTCAGATTCTTAGCAAACTATCAATATATTATCTTAATGAGATAAGCCTTAGGAGGATCTTTAAACAGTCAATTCAAAACTCTTATCAGCATGGACCAATCCTAAATGTATTCCAATTTTAAAACAGACACCAGATTAAAGCAGTACTTTTGTTACTATCTTCTTTATTCTGCATCTCTTTATTTTACTGTCTCTCAGACAACTGTCTAAATTAATCAAATAACTAGAAACTTTAGATTCTTTTTTCCTTCAACTTATGGTATATCCCATTATGAATCCAGACAGAAGTATTTGCAGAAGGATGATTTCCTCAGAAAGAAAAAATGAGCATTGCAATGTTGTGAACAAATACCACCCTTTATGTATATGTGTGCAATGTGATCATGCATGTATCAAAAGGGTGGAGTTTGCATCATGAAATCAAAACAATTGTTTCATCACTTGCCTTATCAATATTACAACTGGCATCTTCTACTAGGAAATGATGAGACCACATAATCAGAACAGACTTTCTATTCTGTATCAACATGAAATGTTGACTAGTTTGCCTGTAAACACTGTCACTCATTCACAATTATTTTAATAATAATTTTTTAATAATGGGAAGAACTATGGAGAAAAAAGATCTTGTAAATTATGAGAAAAAAGAACAGTATCACACCAAAAAATGTTATTACTTGGGTTTTACTGTATAGAAAAACCATGCAGGTACCTTAAAGGAAAATTTAAGAGAAAGATATACAAAGAGATCAGATACTGGAAACCTTTTGAAGTATATTGTTGCTGTAACAAAATTTCTTCCAGAAAGAAGACTTCCATTCTTTTATGAGAATCCTACAATAACACTTATTTTGTTATTGTGCCATTTGGTACTTGTGTCATGACATCACACTCAAGTTTGTAAGGGGCAGAGTTTGTGTCATGATGCGTGTTTTGTAATTTGCCTCCCTGAATGCCCATGATTCAGAATATTTAAAAAGTGCAGTGTTGTTCTCCTATTGTCGACTTTATACCAGTCATTTTTATATAGAACATTAATGTATCATTTTTCAATACTGCCAATGAAGAAGGAAAGGAGTGATTTTGGGGCTTTCTGATAACTGACAGCCACACCAGAATAAACCTGCGTGAAATTATCATCGTCATTCTTCAAAAGTATGAACTAGATTTCAGTAATTGCGAAGGACAGGCATATGATAAATGAGTAGACAATCAAACAACAACAACAAACAACAAAACACAGCATGAATAACCAAGCTGTGTTTGTGCCTTATGCTGGACGTTTCCTAAACCTGACTGAGTAAAACAGTGTAAGTGATAATCTTTATGTAGTATAGTTATTTTCCCTCACCTAAGCCTTTTTTTTTTTTGAGGGGGGAGGTGCCTTCAAGTCTTTCTTGACTCCTGGCGACTGCCTGGACAAGTCCCTGCAGTTTTCTTGGCAAGATTTTTGGGAGTGATTTGACCTTGCCTCCTTCCTAGGGCTCAGAGAGAGTGACTGGCCCAAAGTCACCCAGTTGGCTTTGGGCCTAAGGTGGGACTAGGCTCCTGATCTCCCAATTTCCAGCCTGGTGCCTCAACCACTACACCAAACTGGCTCTCCACCTAAGCCTTTATGTTCTTTCTATTCAACATCTACCCACAGTGGCCCGTAAACTATATTTAATCCTTGATTTTGTTGTGTTTTTTAAATACACCACAGATCACTTTCAAAAATTTGTCATAATCAAGATGGCCCAGCTGAGAAGATGCCATACAAGCCTTTGCCTTCTCTTTTGACTTTGAAATTCTTGATGAAGGTTGTAAAAGATTCCAAAGAGAGAGTAACTCGTGAAGTTAGAAGCAAACACTTTAATTAAAAAAAAGACATTTGAAGCATTTGAAATGACTATTTTGACAATATTCTGGCATAAAGTCCTTCACAATTTTGGCTGTGACAGCAAAATCCTACAAAAACTAGGCCTTGATGTTATGTCAAGAAAAGAATTGCTTTCTTCTCTCGTCACTTTTGTTCATAATATCTGTAACAGCTTTGAAAAAAAAATGAGGAAAAAGCAAAGAAAATTATTCCCCATGTGGGAACTTCATATTCAGATAAAAGATCAACAGTACAGAGACACAAATCAATTTTCCCAGATAGAAAACATCACTGCAGGCTAAGTAGAAGAGACAGGTTCAGGGTGGAAATGTATAACATTAGATTAGAAAAACTTCAAGTTGTGAAACTGTTTTCCTACCAAGGCTAGACCTGGTTTCCCAAAGTCAGGATTCTCTGGAAAGAAATGTTAATGTTTTTGTGACTAATCTAAAGCGTCTCAAATTTCTCTTTCATGAGAACAAAAACATTTCATTCTCTTCTTAAATAATGCAGATTAATAGGATAGTTCTAAGATCAGCCATAAAACTGCAGTTTGAAGACAATTTACAATAAGGAGCTGATTAAAGTTTTTCCAAACTTTGGAATAGCTTTTCACCTTTTTCTAATTTTGTCCATTTCAAACTATGAAAGAGAAAGTCTCCAAACTATCCCTGATTAAAAATAAATTATAGTCTCCAATGCTGCAGCCAAGACTCTCATCTATTATCTCTTCTCTCTACATAATGGGATCTTCTGAGAGAAATGTCACTTGATGACTACATCTGAGTTTGCTGAGATGAAAAATCAGAAAAGGAAGCTATAACTTTTTGAATAACTTGAATAAAGAAAAAAAAATCGAGCAACACATTTATTGGGGCCTATTAAAGAGTTACAAAACAGTATACATCCTTCCTAGTTCTAGAATATTACAGAAGTCTTCCTCAGGCAGTACATTAAAAAGAGACATAGAAGATCATAGAGTTTAGACTCAGCATAAGATAACTTATTCTGTATCTGATAGGATGGAAAGAATGAGTGAGTAGTCAAGAATTATGTCATCACGTCATCATGTCTATAATTTGTTTATATTAACTTATGAAACAAGAGAAGGATAACCATCTCCAAACGTTGTACACATTGCAAGTAGAACCAATAATTTAGCTTTGTCTTCCAATTTTGTAATGTATCATTTTAACATATTCTTCTATTAATTCTGACATCAGAATGGATGCTGTTTGAGAAGTTTAATACTTTTTTTTTAATTGAGAAAAAAATCCCATTAAAGCAGGATGCAAGAAGAAGGAAGTAGTGGGGAGGGGACTACAATGAACATTTTGTCCCCAGCATCTCCAAGTCTTAGAAAGCCCCAATCCTATGTTTGGCCTACCCTGTGCCTCTGAAACCAAGTGTAGGTACAGTCTCCCAAGTCCCACTTAACCATTTCCTTAGAGGCCTCAGTATTCCTTATCTAACAAACTCTACGTTACTTCCTCAAAGATAGGCAGATAGATAAATAAATAAGCCATTACAGGTTTTATTTTACTCCTGTACATTTTATCTTGGGTAAACTTCTGAAAAAGTCATTTGAGTTGTCTCCAAGATTTTTTAGCCAATATAGTTTTAATAATCTCTGAAGTTAAGCCCATCTACTATGTTTATGCTTTTTACTTTACTTTTAAAACTCGCCTGCTATAATACATAGCAAAATGGTAGCAAACCATCCTTTGAAGTAATAATAAACCCATGCTTTCATTCTAGGGATAATATATCTTGTGTACAGACAGATCATACTGGTATTGAAAAATTGTATAAGTGCAAAAACTAAAAAGGAGACGTCAAAAATAATGAAGCCCATTGGTTTATCCATTTATTCGTAAGTTAATCAACCCCTTGAAAAGTCTTGGACAGTTGTTAAGCTGAAAGCCTCTGTGCATTTATCTGGCAATAAGATGACTGAAAGTAATATTTGCTTCTGCGCAGACATATGCAAGATTGGGCAAAGGGTGTCATATGATTAGGACCGGGCACCCTTTACACTGCCTCAGCATGAGAAACCTCTTCCCTTTGGGGAAATGTTCATTGTAGTCCCTTCCCCACCACTTCCTTCTTCTTGCATCCTGCTTTAATGGGATTGAAACCCTTGAAACCAACCCCACATGGTTAAGTAGAAATATCCCATATGCTGCAAGTCCACCAAAGAGCTGGCCTGCAGGCTTCTTTTAAAGCAGCACTGCTTTAGGGTTGTGTGGACAAGCCCACCACTCAGCTATTCCACAGATTTGTACCCTGGGTGGATTTAGGGTTTCAAAAGAGCACTGAACCAGAGCTCAAAAGTAACTCAGCTGTTTGATGTGCTTGTTCTGGGTAATAGTTAGCTTTCTTTCAGACCGAGCCCAACAGAACGGAAGCCCATATGGGAGCAAAGTTCCCTACAGTACTAGAAGGATGATCTGACCAGAACTTTCCAGGAGGTTCCAGATAAGCTTAAAACTTCTGAAAAGTCCTTGGGTTTGTGCTGTGATAAATTAATAAAATAAAATCCCAGTTAACTGTTAAATCAAGAAATATAGGCAGGCCTGCTTTAAGGGCTATGAAATCTGGGCAAACAGCAGGGTGATCTTGGCTGTCAGAGTTTGCCACAGAAGAAGGGTGAATGGTTCAATCCTGCAGCCCTGAGGTTCTGCTTAAGAAAAGGGCTGTTCTTTTTTAAAAGTCAGACTTTCATGATTCACTGGGCTGC